AGGAAAGCGTGTGTGTGTGTGTGTGTGTGTGTGTGTGTGTGTGTATGAATGCACACAAATGTATGTGTTTATGGCCCAGGGAAGAAAGACCAAATGCTGCAATTACACATGCACCCCCACAAACGCACACACTTACTGGTGAGTGTGCAAGGGGTGTCAATCAAACCTGCTGGTGAAAAGAGGAGCTTTTCCCTCGCAGAATGTTGTGCAACTGCTAGTGGAAGTTTCAAAAAAGAGAGAAGGAAAGGCAAACGTGAAGCAAGAGAAAGGGTTGCAGAATGGAAAATTGAGCAACATAAAGCACGAGAGGAAGGATAAATGTTAAAAAAGGTACAAAGAGAGGAACAACAACTGACAAAGATGGAGATCAAGCAGGAGAAGACATACAGACAGAATTTGAGACAAAGATGAAGACCAGCTTGGCTTCACTGTGGTTTTATTCCATGGAAATGTGCTTTTCTGTTATTGCTTTTCCTCAAATGCCAAGCTGAAACTGTGCTTCTCACATTTACACATTATTTGCCATCAATGGCCTTTTTATTTGACAGGCTAAAGTACATTGGGACAGCTTTGGACCATTCCTCATTATCCCTGCTGGTGATTGTGTTTCTTCTGCTTCATTGTTTACATCTGGTACGCCTCAAGGCTCAGTTCACATCTCACTGCCATGCCAACAGCGCTCAGCTGCAACTTTCAGCTCAATGAAACAATCCCAGCAAGATGCAAATAAAACACAATTGTTGAGCAAAAAACTAAACGTCCCAAAGAAAAACATCCCTCAAATAACCAGATAAAAAGGATCTTTCCCGTCACTGGCCCTGAATTGTTGAAAACAGCTTGATCCTTGGAGTCAAAACACCATCCATACAGTCCGGGTCAGAGGATTTAACTTGAATTTTAACCCTTGACTGTGTAACCAAATTGAGGACGGAGCAAACTTGGAGCGTTTTGCAGGAACCTATTATCTAAATTGTTATTCTATTATTACTCTAGATGATCTATTATTAATCTAAACTTGACCACTATATCACTCTGTTGTCATGGCTATAAATGAACAAGCACTCCCTTACTACTTGCTAACAATCTCAACTACTTGTACGTGTTTTTCCCTCCAGCAGCCTCACGCACCAGTCAACCAGGCTTCAGTGTTCATAATCATCTTTAACCAAGGCCAACATTTTAAATGAGTCAAATTTAAGGAATATATGATACACACACATACAGATGCATCATTCATACACTCCCAAAGGCTCTAGAGGCCACACATTGTAGGAAAGTGCCATCTGGTGAATGTAAATGTTACTACAACCATGAACACAGTAGTCATGCAGGGTGATTGGACTGTTGTAGGATAACATCCTTCTAAACTAAAAACTATGTATAATTGAGCAATTATTACATGCAAACATATAGAATCAGTTGCACAGCCATTGAGATTCAGACTAATAGTGTATTTATTTTAAATAAAAGTTGTAGTCTACTGTACCTTGGTTGAAGGGTTCAGCAGCATTCATGTCACCAGAATTGACCTGAGCATAAATCAGATGTCCCTTTCCTCTGGAGTGCACAGGAAAACTGTGAGGGGTAGAAAAGAGCTGTAATTACTGTAATTATTAAGTTGTGAATAAAAACAATATGTAGCCTGAAGGAAACTGTACGATGACCACTTTGATTACTCTGCACTTGCTCGAGGCAACATTTCTTGCCAATTAACAGTTTTTATTTTAAGTCTGTGTGGTTAGAAAGAAATAAGAGAAATTCTGTCAGAATTTGACTCTGTGTGCTTCCAAATATTTTACAAACAACAAGATATACTGAATGAGAACCACCTTAACTGTTCTGTTGCAATGTTTAAATATTTCATTTAATTCTTTATTATTCTTTATCTTTATTTTTTAGTCATTATCTGATCATTTGTAGCATTAATTTCAGAGAAATGCATTGTTTTCTAGTATCTCCTGCAGCTAAATGTGTAGACCAAGGAGTGTTTCCGTGACATTTGTCTTTACAGTTTATCTCCACTAGTGGGCAGTGTATACTAGTGCAAACCTCATATAGACTACAGTTAATGCTCACTTTATAGTAAGCCTATTAGTTATTTGCATAGTACAATAAAGCCTACACATTTTAATACAGTGTTTGAACTAATATAAAGTTTTTTTAGTGTGTAGATTTACTTTTTCCAAAATATAATCTCTTTTTATTTTAATTAAAATGTGCTAATATGGATAATTCTATGATATTTTACGTTATATCCTGTGAGATATTCAGTAAAACAAACGTTTGACGGAGTACAGAACAACATGCCAGCTGCTACTCGCACATGTTTGATGCTCAGACCTTCCCACAACCAAAATAAAACCTCACAGCTTTGGATGCTGCACCTTTTCCCGCCCCCCTCCATTTAACAGTATGATAATGAGAGCTGTGGATGCGGAGTAGGGGGTGTTGGCTTTAAGACATTTGACTCTATTTGGAGTTGTGTCCATTGCAGATGAAGAAAGTTTTTTTTTTCTGGATTCTTTTCTACTTGTACTTACACCAGAGGTCGTTGGCAGGCTCCGTCCTCGCAGAGAGCCCGCACCAGGATGGGTGCTCTCCCGGCGCTAAGGATATTATGGATTTTGATCTTTACTGGAATAACAGGAGTCTGCGGTAAGTTGTCATTTGTCTGTTTTTTCTTGTTTTCATCTTTTGCCCGTGTAGCCAAGGATATATCGCAGAGGAAGACACACGGTGCATTTTCGGCAGTCTTGAGGCAAGTTTTTTTTTAACTCTACTGAGACTTTGAAATTATGTTCTCAATATGCCTGTCCTGGAAACATGTCCTATTCAGGGTGTTGGTGATATTTTATTGTAATTTGGCATGTCGTTTTATTCTTGCATTTGAGGGATAAGTAATGCGCAAAGACGCATCATGTGTGCCTATTAATAGTTTTAACATCTGAAAACCTCTCAGATGGGTTTCATTAGGCCAAAGTTATCTAAGTTTTAAATCACACTCTGTATATTTAACTTGTTCTCCTTGGTCTTCATCTTTTTACTGAAAAATAAACCAAAGTTTACCCAATAGTTATGTTAAGACAAGATTATAAGATAATTCAGACTCACTAGGTAGAAAATAACACCCACATAAAGTAAACATGACCAATAAAATAACTTTTGGAGAAATAACTCTCCTTTTTGGTTACAGGTTCAAACGTCTGCACCTCCAGAGGGGCCAGCACATGCAAGCAATGTCTGGCTGTGCACCCCAACTGTGCTTGGTGCTTCCAGGAGGTGGGTTCCTTTTCCACTTCACTTCATTTAGGCAATGAGGTTTCTGCCAGCCGGACCGGTGCAGGGTGGTACAGATCCCCTCATCGGCCAAGTAATCTGGTTGGGAAGAATGCATGCAGATGTATGTCCTGAACGTAAAATGAGTTCACTGCTTTTACTGTTTGATTCCTGGCACTTAAGCACAGTGACTGAACTTGACTTCATGAGGATGTTGTCATATTTTCTGGTTCAAACTAATAAGCACAGTGATTTGATGTTGTAAAATTCTTACTGGGAGCCAACATACTCAACCTTACTAACTAAAGTGCAACATTTTCCCATGATGACTTCAGCCGGAGTACTGGTTTATTGCTTCGACAGCAGTTGATGGTGTTCAGATAAGATGGCCATTTTAATTTAAGGTGGTATTTGCCTGTAATTCAGTGTAAAGCAGAATGTTCTTGATCATTTCTGGACTTTCTCACCCCTGCCACAATTTAGCCAACATGCCATTCTCTCAATACAGCTTTGTTACAGATGTGAATTCTGTAAATAAACAACTATTCGACTACAGTTAAACTCATTAAAGTGCTTCCAGCAAGAAGGGTGCTGGAAACTGACTGTTTTTCTGTATGAAATGTGCTACCTCCTCTGTCAGGACTTTGGCCAGGGGGTTGCCAGTTCTTCCCGCTGTGATCTGAAGAATAACCTGGTGGAGGCGGGCTGTGCCCTGGCAGCTCTGGAGTCTCCGAGCAGCAAACTGCAGGTGATCGAGGACCGGCCCCTCAGCAACAAGGCAGCGGGGGCCACGCAGGACGTTACTCAGATCAAGCCCCAGAAACTACACATCACCCTCAGGCCAGGTAGGGTTTACCATCTGTGTTTGTGGGTTCTGACATACTGAAGTAAATACAAATTTGATTGAATGGGAAGCTGTACAGTCAAACTCTTATTTCTGCATTGTTTATCCTACGTTGGGTCAAAAGAGCTTCCTGTTTCTTGCTGAAATGTAAGAAAAAAGACCCATACCAGTAACATAAAGTAAAACTATTAAAAAAGATATTTCTGTTTTCCAGATGATGCCAAACGCTTCACAGTGAAGGTGCGTCAGGTAGAGGACTACCCTGTGGATCTCTACTACCTCATGGACCTCTCCTACTCCATGAACGATGACCTCTTCCGCCTGAGGACATTGGGCAAAGGCCTGGCCGAGGCCATGAACCGCACCACCAGCAACCTCCGCATGGGCTTTGGGGCTTTTGTGGACAAGCCGCTCTCGCCTTACATGTACATCTCCCCCAAAGAGGCTGTGAAGAACCCGTGCTACAGGTAAAAGATTGGCTTCATACAATATTTGCACCCTCATTGACTGATGTCACGCTATCCTCTTACAGTATTCTATCAACAGTGTATTATTGGACAAAAAAGTATATTATTATGACAATTACCATCCATTTTAAGTGCAATTTCCTTATGTCTTATGTTTGCTCAGACTTGAAAAAAAGAAATTCCTCTGACCTGGCTGCTAATTCTTTTCATGTGGATTTATATTTTGCTCTGGTTGTATATGCCTTTAGTTTTAAAGACATAAGTTTAAACCTCATAAAACAACTTAAAAATGATAGAGCATTCTTAAGCCAGGAGATAATAAGCCTAGCTTAGCATTAAGACTGGACGCAGGGGGGAAACCGCAAAATGTTACACTAAAGCTTTTGTATAGATTAAACAAATGAGATATAATGTGTTAATTACTGAGCTTTAGTGGTGCCTGTAGCCAGACTTTCTTTTTACCTTAAGACAAAGCTAGGCTAGCAATTTGTCTGTTTCCAGTCTTTATGCTAAAATAAGCTTCATGTCCATTATATTTAACATAAGCAAATAACCCTGTTATCCAAAATGTGGAACTATTTCCTTTAAAAAAAGTTGGCCACACTTAATGACAACAAGAACTTTAGGATTAACCTCCTTAACCTGTTTCCTCGTCTGTAAATGAGTACCTAAACTGAATCCAGACCTCTTTTTAATGGAAAGTTTAATTTAGTGGCTGCATTCTAACAATGTATTACATTACTAATATATACTGGTGCTGATTTCAGTGGTTGTTCATGTCTGCATGTGGAACTGAGAAGTAGCTTCATTATGCAGATGATGTCATTTTTGTGAGGACACCATTAAACACATCATTACACAGTAAAAATGCAAGCAGACTCAGAGTCACAGCACTTGTTAAAGGTTTACAGTGGCTCCCCAGTGCTTGGTCAGCTGCTCTGAATCAGCCGCAGGTAATCTACCCAGGGAGTAAGAGTGTCCCAGTACAAGCGGCCATAACCCCACCCAAAGGCTTCCAGTGAGATTGATTTGGTGGTTTAAGGTCTCTCGGGGGTCATTTACTTACACACAGTCTACCGAGATCTAGACTCCAGGAATGTTTGGATAAAAGATAAGACTAACAGAGAATTTCAGTCTAGTAGTGTACAATACAGAGAAAAAGAGGGGTCCATTGGCAGTTCAGGAGAGCCAAACCTTAAAATTGGGGAAACTATCAGCTGTGAAACAGTGCAATGTACTGATGAACAGGGGAAAACAAGTCTAGAGATGGTTGGTCTGTTGGTCCACCACTTTGGTCCAGGCTGAAATATCTTATCAACTATTGGACGGATTGCCATGAAATTCTGTACAAGCATTCATGGTGACCAGAAGATGAATCATTGGTTGTTTTGAGTAAAATGTCTCCACAACTGCTGGATGGATTGCCTGAAATTTGGTACAGACATTTATGTTCAACAGGACAACCTTTCAATGTGTCCAATACTTTAGTTTATGACTGGCATCCCCATGAGACGCGGGTGTAATTTGCATTTAGTGCTAGTGCTAGCAAAACACTCAAAATTAAGATGGTGAATGTGGTAAACATTATACCTAACATCAGCATGTTAACGTTGTCATTGTGAGCATGACAGCATGCTGAGGCTAGCATTTCATTTAAAGTACCTCTGTGTCCCAGTATAGCCTCACAGAGTAGAATAGACGAGAGAGTAGAGCAGTACAGTCTAGTTCTTCAATGTCATTGTAGGAAGAACGACCTGGTGAAATAGGGTAAAATGAAGAGCTGTTATGTCTAGATGTCACCTAGCATGTAACTTAAAAATGAATGCAGTTCTGATAATTACAGTTAATATGAAACAAGAAAACCCAAATAACTACAAAACAAAACTGGAAAATGCACACAACTAAAATTATGTATGTATTGAAGACATCTTGAAATATATTTTTAAACTGGTTATTCCTCCCTCAAAATATCCCTTTAATAAAGAATATCATCAATAATTGGATATCTTTGATCATTTTTTACAATGTTATATAAACAGGTAAATGAACCTGGATCATCTTCATCATCATCTGTTTCATTGACAGCATTAACACCACCTGCCTGCCCCAGTTTGGCTACAAACACGTTCTGTCTCTGACGGAGGAGGTAGGCCGCTTCACAGAGGAAGTCAAGAAGCAGATGGTGTCCAGGAACCGAGATGCCCCGGAGGGAGGCTTTGATGCCATCATCCAGGCTGCTGTGTGCAAGGTGGACAGACAGACAGCATGAGCACAGACTGTCTCACACACATTGTTTTACATTCTTTTTCTCTTCGGTCACACGGATACACACTCATAAACATTTCAAAAGAAGAAGAGCTAGATGATACAACTCAAAATAGTAGCAATCACAAAGAGCTTAGCCTTCAAAAGTTGAATTAAATAGTTTGACCTTCTTTCCCTTTCACTGTTACGTGGTTTGATGGGAACTAGGAGCAGATCGGTTGGCGCCCCGGTGCATCCCACCTTCTGATATTCACCTCGGATGCTAAGACTCACGTGGCTCTGGATGGTCGTCTGGCTGGAATCGTGCAACCCAACGATGGGCAGTGCCACCTCAACTCTGACAATATGTACAGCATGTCCACCACCTTGGTTAGTGTGTACTGTAAGGGTGTGTTTGGTGTGCAGACAGTGGACAGTAACAGTATGACAGAGAAACGGAGAGACTGAAAGATATTTCAGTTTTTATATGTGCATGTGCTAACCACACTTCTTGTGTTATGCCCCACAGGATTACCCATCTCTAGCTCTGATCACAGAGAAGATGTCAGAGAACAACATCAACCTCATCTTTGCTGTCACCAACCCTGTGGTTGCTCTTTACCAGGTCAGGAGCACATTCAGCATTTGTGTCTGTTCAGATTTTGTTCAAAAAAGTAAATTAAGTAAATGTTTTTAAACTGAAAATGAGAGGATGACATCTCCCTGGTCTCATCTTGAAAATACTGTAGCGTTTTAGCTATATATATATATATATTGAACTGTTATTGTTCATAAAGGAAAACGTATTTCATTGGCTAGGCATGAGTCACACACTTCTGCTTTTTCAGGGCATTTTCAATTTGTGTTTGTTCTCACAACCATCTCATACCATGAAACCAATTAAACTAGTGTGACCTCTTCCCTTTTTGTATTTTTCTTGTCATTAACTGTTGGTTTTGATGGTTAACAAAGAAGGAAGTGAAACATTTCTTTACATTTCCCACAAAAAATATATCAGCTCTACCAATGTTTTAGATGGCTTAATGGTATAAGAACAAAAAAAACCAATGTAAAAATAATAAAATAATTGGTTTATATATATATGTATATATATAATGATGTGAAGTAATAATAATTTATTTGGGAATTTACTGTTTATGTGAAATTAACAGGTTTTATATTTCTGATCTATTTAAAGAGCCATTATGTGACAATGATATGTTTAACAATGTTTTACAATATTAAACAGTTACTGAGGGGTTTATTTTGTATGTATTTGACAGGAATTAGACATTAGTGATTATTAATAGTTTATAAATAGTTTTACTGTGTCAGATGAGTCTTCAGGTCTGTTTGTCTTTCTGTCTTGTAGAACTACAGTGAGCTGATTCCTGGCACCACAGTAGGAACACTGTCCAATGACTCGGGCAATGTTATTCAGCTCATACTGAAGGCCTATGCTGTAAGTGTTACACACACGAACACACACACACA